GGTTCAGCAATTTTTTTGTCTTTTTGATATAAATAATGTTTTCTGCAGTTTGTATTTTATCATTCAACTTATAACGTCTAATAAAATTCAGACAACAGCAAGAGTGAAGAAAATAATATTCAAGTTTTTTTAAGAAATATATTTTAAATACATACAACCACAAAAACAACTAAACGATACCTGGCCCTCTGTGTCTCTCAAGAATTTAAAGGGCACAGAATAATTTTCCTTATTCTCTAAATGCCTGTGCAAGTATTGGTTACAGCTTTAGAAACGAAAGAGGGTGTTACAGAATATACCCCTCCAACATGTTCTCACAGGTCTGATGAAGCATCATATATCAAAGTTGATGTATCTGATGGAAGCATGGTCTCAGCATCAATAATTTATTGTACCTTTTGACATAACATTGTATCTCTTAAATCCTTCTGTGTTTACACTGTGGTTCATAGCAACCTTATAATTTGTTTGGTTGTGGTTTTTTTTGTGTGTTTGTTTGGTTTTTGTTTTTTTTTTTTTTTTTAATATGTCTAAATAATTCTGTACTATGCAGTCTGTGTCTTCTTAAATAGGTTTTTCATCATAGGTACACCTCTCAGATGAAGGACAAAATCTTGAATAATAGGAAAACATTGAGAAAACTTAAACTTTTCATTTTAGCAAGTTTGAGACACATTTTGGATATAAACATGTTTCCTCATCAAAGGAAACCAGACACAGTTCCTGAATTCACGGCTAACCTGTGGGCTTCATTTTTGTTCACTTTGCTTAGTACTAGGTTCTTCTAGAATAGATTGTCCTCGTCACCGTGCCTTACAGCATTTGGACCTAGATTTCCTTGTCTACACACATGCTTGTAAACACTGTGAGTGTCTTGAAGCTGGTGTATACTATCCACAGCTATCCTTTTAAACTCACTCTGCAAAACAGAGTGGCTGCATTGAAAGTGGCTTTTGAGAATGATCTCCAGCACACACTAACTTGTAAAGTATTTCTGCATTGTTTGATAGAGTGTTAGTTGCGATGGGTGAAAACCATTATAAGAGTATAGTGGTCTCAGTGATCATGGACTAGCTTCCATGATCTGTGCCCTGGAACTGTTCAATCAGCAGTCCAGATGTGGTCTCTGGATGCTATCTGCTTCCCCTCACTTCAAGACATTACTATTTCACAGACATTTTTTTCTGCTTAAAATGTGTGAAATAACGTGAGGGCTGTGATTCAGGCTAGCACTGTGACATGTTTACAACATGAAATAGGTATGCAGCATGTACTTTGGCTTGTGAATGCAAAGACTGCAGGAATTGTTCAGGACAGAAGGGTCTATGATTCTAAAAATCTGATGATGTCTCACTTTGCTTTGGGACTTTGCTTTTCTTGTAAACACTTAGTTTTGTCTTGGAAAGAGTTTAAACTGAAGCCATGAAAGTTTATAGTCAAAGGGTGTAGACAAAGCAGTTATAGTATTATGAAAGTCTAGATTTTTTTTTTTATTTGGCAGTGTAGAAGACTACTTACCCACTACTTAAAAAAAGAGTCTGAGTCATCTTAAACAAAAAAAATCTCAACTATTCCCTAACTTATAATATTCAATTGTCCATAACTGCACCTGGTCCCAGGTGACAACAAACTCGGACATCATATTTATACCACCTTGCATTCAATCATATATTAATATATAATAAAGAAATAAACCCCATGCAAAAACAGACTACAAGTTTCAACTGTTATATTTGGACTGTTTTTCACATCTCTTAAATATAGAACCAATTAGCTGTCTTAGTTGTCCTGGGCACAATCATCCTTTTACTGACATTATGAATACAAATTATTCATACTGTATTTTAATGGAATAATCTCCTTAATAACTAACATGAAAAGTGTAGTGACTTTTATAATTCTAAATGCCTTACAGGAATGAGAAACCTTTATAGGTTGTTGTTGTTGTTGTTGTTTTGTTTTGTTTGTTTGTTTGGTTGGTTTGGTTTTTTGGCTGTTTGTTTTGGAGTATTTGTTTTTTAAACTGAGTTAACAGAGATAGATTTCTCATTTTCCTAGGGAATCATCTTGCTCCCAAGAGGATGTCATACCATATTCAAACTTAGAAAATAAAATTCTGCATCAGTAATAAAGTTTTAGTTACACTAGGCATGTTTTCCCCTGTCACAGGCAATGACTGCAGCGGTCTTTAATGTTTTAAAAATATACAAGTCTATAAAAACACTGGCATATTCATGACTGATATCTGAAGAGTCTCAATTATTAGCGATTAAAAGTTCTTTCCAGCAGCATGAGAATTTCCCTTTAGTGGAAAAGGTTGGGCAACAATACTCAAGGGCCCCGACCATAAAAATTTTAAAGTCTTGGTGCAATCTCAGATCTGGCATTTTATACTGGATGAAAAGGTGAAAGTGACATAAATGTCGGCTTAAGATAAGCAAGAAGTTTAAGAAGCAGTAAGTTTTTATATGGAAACTATCTATATGATTGTCCTGCAGAGATTCCTTTCAGGTCTAAACATAGAGATTATGATGGCAATGAGATGTAGTGGTGTGAGAAGGCTCCAGGTAGACTCTTTCCTCCTTGAGCAGTGGAGAACAGAAAAGAAATGTCAGTGATTTAAATTAACTTCTTTTCATCAGTGTTTCAAAATCTGCTAAGTATCCTTGCAGAATAAGCTTATGAATGGACTGTTTTCAGTGAAAACTTTTTTAGAGCTTTTTCAAAGTACAGAATTTAAGTAATTTACACCTATTTAATTTAGGTCAAATTTCAATTGCACAACATTGAATCACATCAGGTCAACAGCGGGCATGTCAAAGAGCTTAGGGAACGTTATAAGAAGATTCTACAGTGTGTGATTATGGAACAATTTTCCCATTAGGCAATTTTCTTCTTAAACTCATCAGATATTTGTCTTTTTATATACTAAAGTGGGTAGAATTGTTTCCCTTACAGAACTTATTAATGCACTGTGGATGTCCTTAGCAGCCAATCCTTGTCTGAGCTCCTAGAATCACAGAATCATTAAGTCCCTGGTGCAACTTAAGCCCATTTCCTCCCATCCTATTTAAAAATTAAGAATACTAGGAAAAAATATGATATGCAACAGAAGTTGGGTCATAAACATATTTACTAATGGTATCTCTTAATTTCAAACAGTGATCTCAAACTCTAAATTAAAAAAAGAAAACTGATTTTTAAACAGTTTAAATTCTGGATGGTCCTGAGCTTCTTCAGCTTGTTATTGGAACTGAGAATTCTTTGCTGCATAAAAATACAGCCTCTAGTGAGACCCATAAGACCAGAAATCTGTTGCCTACAGTATCAGAGTTTTTGTAATTCTGATTTCTTTCCATACCCACAGACCTCCAACTGCAATAACTTCAGCAGGCCTGTGCGAGTACAAAGGAGTGTAAAGAAGAATCAACTGCATTTCTGCCCATTTGAGAATGTTTTGGGGCCCTTTTATGATCTCACTATTTGAAATCAGGGGGCACAGTCACTGGGGTGTACACACTATAGGATATTGAAGACTGCAAGGGTTCTATGTAATCAAGACAACTAGAGATTTTTGTCTCAACACACAAAACAATTTCCCTCACCGACTTCAGAAAAACTCTGCAATGTTTACTGTTTTTTTCTAAATTTGCATAGTCTGTCTAAGGGAGAACAAACTGTTCCTGTACTTCCTGACAACACTAAGAACATTGGAGAGATTGATGGTATTTGCACATTGTGGCATTAATAAAGAATTTGCTGTGATGTTTTTTAATCAACATTTTCCTATGTGACAACCTTCGTTTATGTAAAACAGAGTTGGGAAAAATAAAATTTAAGACGTGTCCTTTTTTAAGAACACTAGTAGGTTTTAAATAGTGTTTTGTGTCTTCTATTTACTGTAGTATACAACTACAGCAGCTAGCTAAGGAGTAATGTTACAAGGTAATGACAGAGTGAGACAATATATGAGAGTATTGGAATAAATGGCTATAATACACCTGAGTGGTTATTGGTGAGAATTAAACAAAACAAATATCTGACTGTAGTTTAAAATTGCTTAAGAATAGCCTTATTCGTGTAATTACAGGGTGACATTCAGATGACAATTGGTGCAAGTACCTGAGCAGTGAGGGAGAGTCCCACTCCAGTGGCTATCTTCTTGGCACTCCCTAGTAGAATTTCCTATGAGCTTTCGACCCGCTGTGCAAGAATAGTGAATTACGGAGCCATACGTAAACTTGTCTCCTGAAAGAACTGCATTGGCAGGTACCCCGGGATGTCCACAAGAAATGGCTAACACAGGAAAGAGCACAATATTGTGAGATGTTTTCATGGCACAGAAAAAAAAAAAACCAAACTATTATAACCTTTAAATATGAGGCTGATTCCACAAAATGTGAGCTGCTGTCCGGATTTCAGCTCCTCCATATTTTCAGTTTTGCTGTTGATATAGATGATTTGCTGATTATTTGCAATATTGAACTTAAAATTACATATTAAACTAACCCATGCAGTTTAGCCTTTCCCTGAAAATATACACAGCTCTATTTACTCACACGTTTCTGTTCACTAGCCTTCCCTACAAAAAAATGCACATTATTCCTGTTAAGGCTGGAAAAGAAAAAAACAAATAAGGCTGATGTTGTAATGTGCTTATATACTGCAGATATTATAATGGTAA